AGTGACAAGCGGTTATAAAGAAAACATGTTAGTAGGGGTTACAAATGGTCGGAAAAGAAGGCCCACCTTATTGGTATGAGTAGTACCTATCAAATCTTTTAAACTTTCATAGTCTGGGTTTTACAATCACCCTCGTTAGACTCGCGACATCCTCGTCGCGCTTGATCCATCTGAGGATCCGTTGCCAGGCTTTGGGATTCTAGAGGTGGCTCCTACTGGTTCAAGAGGTAGCTCCCGCCCTATGGCGTAGTACTTTTTCTCGCATAGCAATTTGTTCTCAATTTTCGGCAGGCAACTGGACTCTAATACCATTTGTAGCGACCCAGTCCCACTTGATGGGTTGTCCCGGTCGTTAGATCGACAACATACTGTCTATACTGTACCAACATGAGTCTTTTCAGTATGCTTTATTCTCACTCGCATGTTCCCCAAGAAAATTTCCCAGGGGGTCACCCATCATAGAATTACTCCAAGCTAAGCACCTTTAACTGTAGAGGTGCACTTTGTTGGTATGAATAGTACCTATCAAATCTTTTAAGCTTTCATAGTCTAGATATTACAATCACTCCCCGTTAGACTCGTGACGTTCTCGTCGCGCTTGATCCATCTGAGGATCCATTGCCAGGCGTGGGATTCTAGAGGTGGCTCCTACGGGTTCAAGAGGTGGCTCCTACCCTATGGCGTAGTACTTTGTCCCACATAGCACTTAGTTTCCGATTTTCGGCTGGCAACCGAGCTCTGATACCATTTGTAACGACCCGAGTCCCACTTAACGGGTTGTCCCAGCCGTTAGATCATCGACGTAATGTCCCTACTGTACCAACTTGGGTCTTTTCAGCATGTTTTATCCTCACTCGGACACTCCCCAAGAAAACTTCTCAAGGGTCACCCATCATAGAATTGCTCCAAGCCAAGTACGCTTAACTGTAGAGTTTCTAATGATGGACTTCCAGGAAAGCTTAAAAGATTTGATAGGTATTACTCATTCCAACAAGGTGCACCTTCTTTTTCGGAAATTCATCGTTAGAAACTCTACATTTAGGCGTGCTGGCTTGGAACAATTTTATGATGGATGACACCCCTCGGAAGTTTTCTAGGGGAGCGTGCGAGTGAGGACAAAGCATGCTGAACAGCCCCATGTTGATACAATGGGGACAGTACGTTG